TATAACATGGCAAAAAACTCGATGAAACAAGAAGACGTAACAAATGGGGTGTAAAAAAAATCCACCACACCCGAGTTCTGGTGATCCTTACCTTCTAAAAAAAAAAAAAAAAAAAAAAAAAAAAAAAAAATACTGTAATATAAATAAAATTTTTTAATAATGTCACATTATTACATTTAAAAAAAAAAAATTCAATAAAATAACAATTTTACCTTTGGGAAAAATCTTTTAAAATTTTGTGAATTCAACCCTTAAATGAATTTTTGTGAACTCAACCTGTGAATCAAATAGAATTTTTATTCAATTACATCATAAAAATTTGTAAATATTTGTAAATTTGTACATCTTGTGTATTTTAATTCCATACTTTCATTATAGCGTCTAAAAAATTCCGAATATTTGTTTAGGCAGACAACCGTATACCTAGAGACTGGATTCAATTTAAAATATTCTTTAAGTTACGCTCTATTCTTTATTATATTCAGAATTTGTAAATTTGTGCAATGTACTGTATATTTAAGATATTTACAAATTTGAAATTTATAATTTTTTTACTTGAACTATATTTTTTGCGTTAGACACCACAAGAATCTATTTACAGGATATTCGGGATTATTAATCGACTTTGATTAATAGTTATACGATTCAAGATTATTAAAATCATGTTTTCTATGATATTAATTTCCGAATTTTCTGTCAAGACGAAGAGATAAACGGCTTTCGATTCTGGGTCGTAAAAGATAGATTGATCTTAGGTGGAAAAGATATTTACAGTATATTCTTAATTCAAAACTGTTAAAGCTGTTAGAAGAAAGTTCAGAAATCGATTAAGTGATGATTTTTAATTAAAGGTATAGTCAGGAGTGCTGCCAAGGAAAAACCTAAAGTGCTGATGAAATATATTAGAGTAGTAAATAATTTCATCACTATTACTATTATGAAGCTGGTGTTGAGTTTGTAAAATTGGCGAAACTATTTTCATCAGCGTCTTTTTAAAATTTCATCGTATGATTAGTATTCTGGTCGTTTTGGTACACAAATACAATGAGAAGAATAGAATACTGGTTTTAACTCGCTTTAATTTGTAATTTATATCACATTATTTGAATTTAAGTTCGGTACAGTGAAGGTTTCCTTGCTGCACTCATATATTCGTAGCAATCGATAAGTTTATGTGAAATCAAGCAACTTTATATGAATATATACATATGTAAACGAAGAGTAGCATATCCTTTTCTTATCTGAAGCATGAAGTTATATAATTTACATTTTTGCGACGCTTTATTTGAAACTATTACAATGGTTTTTGTGACCCGAAAACGTAGCTCCAAATCACAATCTCTGATATTCAGTAGTTAAGAACAATTAATCATTGTTGAATACTTTGTGCAGGAAAAGAAAAAAACCGTCTCATATATAAAGTAATCATATAAATTTTTATATTATTTGTAAGCTGATCCAAAATTAAAATAATCAATAATGATTAATAAAAACAATTAAGTTTCTATTCAAAACTATATAACTATACTATTCTATTAATTAATATCCGGCAGCGATTCCATTCTTTCTGAAATCACTCACAGCTATATACGAGTAAAACAAAAAATTAGATGTAAAAAAAAAAATCATACGTGATAGCACGATTTTAAAAAATAACATACCATGAATAGTTCCGTCTTCGAATTTTCTAACAGCTTGTACTTGACATGAATGATGTCTATCTTCTATATTATGTAATTGAACCTATCAATAAAAAATAAACCATTAAAAAAGCTAAAAATTAAGAATAAGCAATATATATATATATATATGAAATACTTACAATATGTCCAATTGTTAATAATTTATCGACTAACTCGTAATTAAGTCCTTGTTCTATGTTTATCTGCATTTTACATTAAATATAAATTATTCAAGTTGTAAGTTAATTTTAGCAAACAATAAAATATTTAGATGGTTATTTTATCAATAGAAATGTTCGTTATTTCAATTGGCGTTTATCGGCTGTGGAAGTGAAAGAAGATTTTATTGTAAGAATTATTAAAAATTTTACATTATGACCTTCTGAAAATGTACGCTGTAAATTTTGGTTTAATTTTTCTAAATTATAGAAAAACCCGATCGTATATGGGTCAAAGGTTGCACTTGTTCATGTGCCCACAGGAAAATATTTATCTACTAAAGGAGTTAAATACGACTTGGGACCGGATAATAAACAAGATATGGTATTTGATATATATATCTTTGGATTTTTTTTACCTTCCTGCAAACAAGCAAATATTTTTTTCATGTTACATAATTAAGCTAAAAAAATTCGTCATACTGTTATAAAATCTACAAAGGTTATTTGCAGTGGCCGAGAAATAGATTTGATAAATGACGTTTGGACAATTGTTGGGGCTCATGATGAAAGTGTAAATACAAGAAACTCCGTATCTTTTAATATGATATAATTTTTTTTTTCATTATTATATTTAATGCTAGAAAAATTTCGTTATATTTTTATATTTTCATAAACCTTATAAAATTTACAAAGGTTATTTGCAGTGGTCGAGAGATGGATTTAATAAATGATGTTTGGACAATTATTGGAGCTAATGATGAAAGTGTAAATACAGGAAATTCTGTATCCTTTAATACAGTAATTGGACTTAAGCATCAAGCGACGGAAATATGTTTACATTCTCATAGTACGAGTTATGGAGTCACACCCAAATCCAAATATCAGCAAGGTATTTATTTTATATAGTTAATTTGCTTTGTTTATACAAATTTAAAGTTTATTGTAATAAATTTAAATATTCTAGTGACACTCAGTTCGGGTAGAAATGTTAACGATGATTGGCAAATTAGGCGTTTTGGTCCTGACGCTTCCTATAGTCGTTTGCTGAATGGAGACGTAATTAGTCTTTTCCATATTAGTACTGGTAAACCAGCACTTTACAGTCATCCCGTTCTATTGGATGACGGAAGTCAAGAGGTTTGCTGCCATGGAAATGGAAGTGATGAGAATAATAAGGTAATATATACTATATATATATTGTATATTATCTTTATACTAAATGAGCATTGTTAATTCAAAAAAAAATTTGTATTTATTTTTTGTAGTGGCTCATTAAATTAATTGAATGATAACTTCATTATAAGAAAAGCGATTATTTGATATAATTCTTTTATACTTCTGATAGTATTATAGATATATATATTTATAAGCTTTCTACTATATTTTTTTATTTTATTTTATTATCGGTGTCGTTATCATTGTTTGATTTATTTACAATTTGTTAAGAAATTGATAAAACCTATCACGTTTGGCCAATAAACTGTCTGTGCGTAATGCGTATAATTGACGTTTTTCGGCGATTGGTATCATATCTATATGAAAATTCATAAATCTCTAAAGGACAAAAGCTACATTTTCAAATTTAAATAGTTTAATACTTAAAAAACTATAGGTTTACCAAAAAATTTCAAACGCTAGTTTTGATATTGCTTTCAGAAGAATAATTTTTTTTTTTTAGTATCATGCACATAAAAACACGTTTAATGCCGTCACTTATTTTAACGAACCAATTGTTAAAGTGAATTACTATTGCATATATTGATGGGACTAACGTGCTAAAAATAGGTGATTCTTAATTGTCGCATTCAATAATTTATGAAGAATCAATTTTTTTTTAATAGATTACGGCGCGTGACAATTGAATTTTTAGCATCTGTAGTCCCATCACTAATTACATATATATTGTAGCGTACCTGATCTGAATCTGAACGCTATGCAAACAATTAACAGATGTAATACCTTTAATTGCGACTCGACTCTTTAATCTTAATGATCTTAAAATCTGGTGTTACACCTGGAGTTGACCTCTTCTATACAACACAGGGAACTAACGGATCTGTAGTATGAAAACTAAGATTCGGGAGATTTGGCAAGTTAAAGTGGCGTCTCTAGAAGACTTATCAAAGAGGTTTTACTAAGGCTTTATCGAAAGAGGCAACAACTCAATCGTATATGAAGATACGAAGGGTTGTAGGAAATATACAACAAATAATGAATCACGAGTCTCACGTGATCACGATCGTTAAGATTCTTAACGAACTAACTCAAACAGGGGTTTTGTGTATGAAGACACAAGACTTGTTTATTAATAAATCTATACGTTTCGATATGAAACAGAAACTGAATATAACCAAAGTAACTATTTGAAGATAGTTACGGGTACAATTGGAGAATTCGAATCTATCTACTAAAGAGAGAGATATATATGAAGATATATAAATGTTTAGGGGAATTCGAAGTCTGAGGGAACTAGTTGAAAGCAAAATCGTGGCCTTTAAATAACAGAAACAACTACATAATTATTTACAGTGAACAACTACAATCTATTGCTATCTATCGATCATACGTTGCTCATTCTTTTTAACTCTAATTCTTTCATAAGTATTAACTCCTATTCACCTGCTTGCACTTGCTATCTTATCATATCTTCACCTGTTAGTAATTATTTCCCAATATTGCTTCATTGCCTTTTGAAAGGCACAAGCCAAACATGCCTTTCTGGCCAATCTTACCCAATATTGAGGCTATCTAATTGTTGAGATCATATCCACAGTGATAGCTATCAGGCCTGTTTGGAAATGCTATTGATATCACATCACATGTCTTGCTATCAGCATCGAGACTGATAAGGCAACAGAATTAGGACTTGTATGATACTATCTAATTAGGCAATAATTATATATGTATGATAATATGCTTTAGGCAATAGCACAAAGATCTGTGGGGCAATTATCCTTCAATCGTTTTGAGTTATATGGTTTCAAGATTCGAGCCAATCTACTGTGGAGTTGTATATCACATTAATCAAGTACTTCTTTAAGTTGTCAATATGTGACTTGTGATTCTTTAATGTCACAATTACAGGTCACATGCTCACAAGCCTTGTGTACTTCATGCCTTTGTCTTTCATCTTCGTTCATTTCTTCATAAAAATCTGTCATTGGGTCATCATTAGGCACACTATTATTATAAAGTTGTTTAACCTTTACACATTCAATTTTTGGCAAACCAAGCATATGCATAGTTTTAGATGTTCCATTTAGATCACTCGCTATCTGAGCAATCAAATCCAATGCTTTTGTATGGTGTGAAAGTGTAATTGTCATAACTCTCTTTTCATTTCCTATCCAGTAAATATTCTATAAACTTTTCAGATCAGTCAGTACACTGAAGACCTTAATCTTGTCATTTACATAAAGGTCCGCAGAAATCATTTCCAAAACAGCCTAATATGTATAACGATCTTCTACTGCTTTTTTGAATCCAAAAACTGCACGAATTCCGGCATTGGTAATTTTGCCCTTAACATAACTCTCCTCTACCAATATTAAATCTGTTCTGTCTCAGATATCAAATGGAAGCAATGGATTATTATATATATTAAAAAAATTTTTATTGTTAGCGACGTCAAGAATGATAACATCAGTAAGAAGTTTTGAACCGAGGTATTTGTTCAAATATTCAAGGATTTGTTTTTGCTAAACTAAATTGTTCTCAATATAGTCAGACCATTCATAGGGTTCTATGTCTTTCTTAGGCAAATTTCTATTAAACCTTACATATTCTATAGTGATTCTAGTAAAATTTTGAAAAGATTGAAATTTATTTGTATTAATTGAAGAGAGTGAAACAACATCAACCTCTTCTTTCATTATGTGCTCATATATTGTATTTATTTTACTAATAATATCTTTGGAGAAAGAAAATGAAGTTCGAGAAACTTGAAAACAATGTGAGAAATATTAATAATATAAAATAAAATTATTGCGAAGAAAGCAGTATAGTTTTAAAATATTTGAATGTAGTCATAATACTACTTACCCTCTCTCTCACCCTTAATTTTCTCAATAAGTCTAGCAATAGTTTCAGCTAGTCCTTACTCTAAACCATCTTGAATTAGTTTATCCACATTTAACTAAAGAAAGGCTGAGCCTTTGACTTTATTTTTTTTAATTTTAGTAATATCATCATCATTAAGGTCTAGCTTATTTTCATCTGCATTATCTTGTAAGAATTTAATAATGTTAGTTCACGTTCACTTCTCAACCTCTTTGACTGATAGAAGAGGAATATTATCAAATATGATCACTTATTTGTTTGCTTAAATGAAAACAGTTGTACAAGAAATGCAAGTTTAGAGAAAGAAAATTTTTTTAGCAGGAAATAGTTGTACATCCACCCTTTTATAGTTTATACAAATAATCAGATTGTTATACAATAGTCATGTATTGTTATATGATAATATGACAATACGAATAAAAAAAATTCTGCATGCAGGGACCATAAAATATTCAGATATTTCTTTATATTATGAAATTTGTTTATTGTTATTCAAAATTAAAAAACTATTATATGAATTCTTAGACTATCATTAAAGCATTGTATATTTCATGACAGAAATTTTAATTATTCGAAGATATAACAGATGAGTTAGAAACTTGGAACTATTATAAATAGTAAAGCTTTCATATAGTTGCATTCATCACAAAGCTTACACCTATGCTTCTACCTTCTAAAGGTGTACCACTTTTCTAAGTAATTTTGTTTTTCTTTCATCATTATATATTAACAGGAAAAAATAATCTATACGTGGCTAAAATTTTTTATTATACGTATAAACTTGTCTGGAGTGAATTCTTCACAAATGAAGAATAGATATGGCATGAGTTAATTAACTGACTTTAGTTAAGTACTAATTCCAAATGGCACTTTGAGATTGTGCCCCATCTCACAAATAAGTTATACATAATGATAAGCCTTGTAAGGTAATACAGATAAATTTTATATGCAAAATTATTACACTAATAAACATGAACAAATTATGTATAATGATAAGTTTTGCTTAAATTAGATATCATTATCACTAATTCAGATTTTAATGTTAATTATTTGAAAATTTTCACATTCACATCTGATAGTAGAGTCTGGACACCATGTTCGGGCTTGTCAAAATTGCACAGAAAAATAAATAAATTACATGGCGAAGTAGATAGCAAATTAGTTATCAAAATCTTATTAGAAGTAGCAAATTATTTTCCAGCAAAGTACATTATATTACATTTGGTAGTAATTACTAGAACACACTTTAAAATAAAACCTGATATGGAAAATGCTTTATTAATATATATTTAATTGATAATCTGCCAGTCAACAGAAGAATAAACATAGTGTAATGTGATGCAAATTACTATGTAAATCCAATATAGTGTGAATCTAAAAAATTTCTACTATTCATCCAAAGAAAACATTTTTTCGTACTAAGTTAATCGATTTTGTAAATTAATTAAAAGTTGTAGAGCTCATCCTTGCGGGTCTAATGGTGGTTAAATTATCCAAATCGGCCCAATGGATGCTGAGATATCTTTAAAAAACGCATTAATAATTATATAAAATCTCTATATTGTTTACATAGAGATTTTATATAGTCGTTGACGCGTTTTTTAAAGATATCTCAGCATCCACTAGGCCGATTTGGATGATTTAACCACCATTAGACCTGCAAGGATGAGCTCTACAACTTTCAATTAATTTACAAATCAATTAACTTAGTACGAAAAAATGTTTTCTTTGGATAAACAGTAGAAATTTTTTAGATTTATACTATATTGGATTTATATAGTGATTTGCATCATGTTACACTATGTTTATTCTTCTGTTGACTGGCAGATTATCAATTAATTTATTATTCTTTATCACTTTTACTCTTTTTTGTTTATCCTTCTTCTATTTCCTTAAAATATAATATTGAGTGAAAGCTGATTCGTAAATAATACTTTGACAAGTATTAGCTTGATATTATAAAATTTATAATATAAAGTGATAGCTGAATTCATGAATAATACTATTGCAAGTATTAGCTTTATATTATAAGAAGTTTAAAAAGCCATATATAGCTTATGACAGCCTAATTATTGGTACTTAATACTTTTATACTTTTATTTCTCTGGTTATATCTACAGATATCTCTATGTTCTCATGGCTAATAATCCTCATAAAAAGAAAACATATTAGTGTTCTACTGGCTAATACAAAAGAGATAGTGGATGAAACACTCCTTATTGATTTACTAAATAAGCCCTATCTCTTAATATGTAGACCAACGCAGGCAAATTTGCCTGCGTTTTTGCACTTTTTTAGCTCTGATTTACTTTTTT